TGAAATAATTGATATGAAATTATAATAGTAGAACCAATACCAACAATAAGGAAAAAGTATAGCATTTATCAATGTTAAAATTATTATGATAATACTCCCTATCCTATAATATGGTAACATCTAGTTCACAAATGTTGATAATTAAAAAATACAATCTACTATAAAGTATAAAATTAACCTATAATCTAAATTTATTTGACATGGTTTAAGATATAATATTTCCTCCAATTTGATGAACTGAGACTGATGTAAATGACTCAGCTCTCTTTAGAAATTAAATAAGGTAGTTTAAATTACTGCATCTTTGATTTTTCTTTCATTAAAAGTATTAGCAACAGATAACATTATTAAAAATTATCACATTTACTTACAACTTTGTAAAATGGTTAAAATGGTCAATGCCTATTTTTTTAATAGTGATAATATTCATTCTTAAACTGAAAATAAGTTTGAAAAGTTGAAGCTGACACAGTGGCTCTCCCTTGAGCTCTCTCTTGCAGGGGAGACCCACACACATATATATTGGGAGGAAGTCCTGGCCCCCGTTACCTGTGAGTGTGAACGTAATTGGAAGTAGCAATAATGCTGAGCTGCAGTTGGCCCACTTACCTGCAGGGGTGTACTCTAGGACCCCTGCAGATGTCTGAAACTGGGGCTATCCTCACACCAAACCCTACATATACTATTACTTCCTATGTGGATATATCTATGATAAAGTTTATTTCATAAACCTGGCACGGAAGAGATTAATGACACTAGCTGGTGATAGGACAATCTTAACAATATACTGTTCACAGTTTCTCTGCTAGGAGAAACTTTCTTCCCAGAGTTTCTTAGAAACATCAGCAATTTTGTTTCTTTACTTACTAAGTTGCAAACTTTCACCTTTTCACTTCAAGGAAGTACATTATAGCTTTGCTTTGGCATATCCAAGTTGCCAACATCACCACTTCTGCGTGTGGAGGCCATTATTAAGTGAAATAAGGGTGACTTGCACATGAACATTGCGATACCACGACGGTCCATCTGATATCGAGAGGGCTGCTAAGTGAGAAAGGGCAGGTGGTGTAGACAGTGTGGCTGTGCTGGAAACGGGAGGATTCACGTCCGGGGCTGGGCAGAATGAGGACACAGATTTCGTCACGTTGCTTAGTGCAGCACATGATTAAAAATTTATGAATTGTTTCTGGATTTTTCCAATTTACATTTTTGGACTGCTAATGACCAAGGGTAACTGAAAAACTTAGGTAAGTTTTAGATAAGAAGAAACTGTTGTACTGAAGTTAGGATGATGGGTCATACTGGGCTACTGTGACTCGTGTCCTGTTGAGAAGAGGATGACAGGCAGGAGGAGAAGGCCGCGGGTCAAGGGAAGCAGAGACCTGAGCGTTTACAAGCCAAGTGACAAAGTGTTGGCAACAACCGCCAGAAGCCAGAACAAGCTGGGAAGCGCCTTCCCCTTTCCCAAAGAAGCCCAGGGCACATGGGCTTAATTTCAGAGTTCTGGCCTCCAAAACTATGAGATAATGAGTTTCTGTCGTTTTAAACTACTGAGTCTGTGTTAATTTGCTGGAGCAGCTCTAGAATTCTAACATATATCCACTCTTCTAATCTGTGCTCACAGGCGCCAGGAGACGCCAGCCCAACAGTGCACAGGACACTTCCTACTTGGACGTGGAGAGCTGGAGCTCCAGCCTGACGCAGGGCTGTGGCTGGCCCTGTGGACTTTGTGTCCTGCATTGCTTGTACGCAGCCAGTTTGGGGTGAGGAACAAGAGGATGCACACTGGGAGCTCTGGGTGGGAGGGAGAGCCCTGCTCTGAACAGCTGCCAGCTCCTGGCCGCTGGCGATGTCGCCTCTGTGCCCGCAGCTTTTCCACACCATGGAGGACTCCGGAAGAAATGTGTCCTATTATTTCCTTTCAGTCGTTTCTTTTTCAGTGTAAAGATCTTTAGTTTTGTCAACACTTGACTCGAAAAGCTTGGCACCTGAACTTCCACCGTCCTGACAGACGCTCTCGGAGCAGCTTCCTCAGCTCTCCCCGAACCCAGGAGACAGGGCCTGGTCCCTCCCAGTCTGAGCCTCAGCGCGGGGTCCAGAGCTCAGGGTCCAGGTCACGCCTTGTGTCAAGGCACCTCAAACGGCACTAGCATTGTTGTTTTTATTTTAAGCAATTGTATTATTCTTAATTAAAAAAAACATAAAAATCAATCAACAAATGATTTGGCCAAATTTTTGAAAGAACGCAGCAAGCAGATACAAAGAAACAATGGTAGGTGACGAGCTGGGTTCAGGACATCAACGAGGACACCAAGAGAGCCAGTGAAAAGGCCACATGGAGCGCGGAGAAACCAGAGAGC